TTCTGTCAGGGGTCCATGGCTGCTCTGATCCTTCCCCTACTTGGTCTCGCCCAAGATGATGGCTCCAGGAGCAGCTGATTATCTTGAATTAGAAAGCACTGAATTTCTTGCTTCTGCTACAAATTCCCCTAGTTGTAAGCCTTCCAACCTTCTAAATAGTCCTTTATATGTGGTTCAAAGTTCTGACACCATCCCCTGAGCCTGCTTGGTCTGGTATTCTGTGTTGTTGCTGATGGAGCTCCTCACTGCACTTCCACCTGATCCGCCATCTTGTTTGTTCTCCCCATCATTCGATATTTTGCCCTTAGAATCCTTGAATATTGCAAGTTGAGGCTTGCATTTTTTCTTCAGTCCTTTCAGTTTGAGAAATGCAGAACATGTTCTTCCCTTTTGGCTTTCTAATTTCAGGTCTTTGCACATTTCATTATAATACCTGACTTTGTCTTCTCAAGCTGCCCTTTGAAATTTTCTGTTCAGCTCTTTTATCTCCTCATTTCTCCCGTTTGCTTTAGCATGACTGACTCATCGTGACTCTGCATAGGGTTTCCAAGGAATGGTTGGTGAGTTGGAACTGCCAACATTTTGGTCAGCAGTCCAGTGCTTATCCTGCCGTGTCATACATGGACTCTACACATTTCTTTACTTGCTCGGGCAGCTGGGAAGCCTAGAAGTAACAATATCCACCTAACAATATACAGTAACCCTAATCAATAATAAGTAATAACCCTCATAAGGAGTCCTGGTGTGGCACTGTGGGTTAATGCGCTGTAGGTCTGAACTGCAAGATCAGTGGTTCAAGCTCACCAGCCACTCCTCAGAAACCCTATGCAGGGTTGCTATGAGTTGGAACCAACTCTACGGCACTTAACAACAACAACAACAATAACCCTAGTAAAAAATAAGCAAGCAACAAACCTAATAAATGGCTCCTTGGAGAAAGGGCTGATTCTAGGACTGGATCAGGGAACATACAAGATGAGCCCAGAGCGTGTTGGAGGGCTAGAAGGAAGTGATAACAGATGCACACACTGATGGGGCATGTCAAAGGGACACAGAAAGCCAATGGAAAGAGCTCCCAAAGGTACAATTTGAACAACAAAATAAACAGAGTAGTGTTGGACGAAAACAAAGTATAAAACAAACATCCACGAGTTCACGCTGAGATAAAGAAATGGCTGAGTAAATACATATATGTGGGAGAAGAGATAAACCACCTGTGCTGATTTCAGATACTCCCCCCTTTTTCAGGCTCCTGAAAAGCACAGATGGCGAGGGGGCAGAGGAGCTGAACTGTAAAGAAACGTGATAAACACTTTTCGCCAGGTGAGCAAGATCAACCTCAACAGAGATAAGTCATGTTGAGTGCACGCCCCCTTGCTGTGGACAATGTGATGAGAACAGCATTTTGCCGCTTCCAGACCCAGTGAAGCCACTAGTAAATCATCGCACAAATTGAGCCTACACAATCCCAAACTGTCAAGGTCATCAAAAATAAGCCCCCACAGAGAAATGGCCAGAACCGAGAGGAGCCAAGAAGACGTGAGGCCCTCAGGTCCTATGATATCCTGGCACAGCTGACAAGTGTCTGGACGGTTGGTAAATACGGTGCATCAATACTGGGGTCATTGGTTGTCACAAATGCACTCAAGAATATCAAGCCTTAGCAATAGGCTACTGCCTAGTACTAGCTGGGCAATCTGCTTGAAAATGGAAAGATATCCCAACAGAAAAGTTTATTTAAAATATAAAAACAAAATCCTTTCTGAGGGTCTGTGTGCGCGAGCACAGCTGTTGGGCAAGGGGTATGCAGGGATGAGAGGAGGTGGCCCCCAGCTGGGATGAAATGAGCCCCCAAGCCTGATGGCTGCCTCTGGGGACATTCTAGTCCCCTCCCCCACGAGCTCCCGCCAGCCGGGGAGTTTACAGCACAAAGCCCTTCAAGGTGGACCCCAGCTTCCCCTTTGTTCCAGCTAATTCTCATTCCAAAGTGCATTGTGCCCGCCTGCCCACAGACCAGAGCCCCCCTTCCTCTGGATAACGTCACCCTTCCCAGCTCTCATCCACAGCTGCCCTAGACCCGGGGTGGGCCCCACCACCTCCACCACCTACGGGCACAAGGCTCACTCTGGTAGCCTGAACTGCTCTCCCTACAACTCATCCCTGCCTTCCTCAATTCACACCCCACCCCCAACTATAACTGTGGTCTCCAAGGCCTTGGGCTCCCCAGACACTGGGCTTCTTTCTTGCCCTCCCGTTCTGGGAGAGGCAGCCCACCCATCCTACACGCAGGGGTGGAGGGGGGCTGGCTTCGGAGATTGGAACCGGCCTCCAAGAACTCGGAACATCCCAGGCTTAGCAGGACCGGACTGGGAGTACAGAAGGGGAGGGGCTCGGCTTCCGTTGGCCTTGGTCTCCCTGGGTACTCAGGGTCCACATGAGCGGCTCCCAGTAACACTGTAACTGTTCTTATCAACGTCGTCTCACAGTCTTGAGGAGATAGGTCCCGGGCTTCCTGCAGATCCCAGGGGAGAAGGGGTCCAAGGCACGGAAGGGAGGTAAAAGGACGGGGCACTGCTGGCGACTTCCGGTTTTGGCTGGGGAGGGGCCGTCTAAGCAGGTCACTCCAGGGCCTGGCAAGCAAGACCAGGGGTGGTCATGAGAGGACTAGGGAGGAGACGTGGAGGGGGTCCTGGGTGAACCTTGGGTTGGTGGGCAGCTGGGTGGGGGTGGGGTCATTACTGGGTGGGGGAAGATATGCGGAGGGGCGAGGGAGAGCTGGGGTGCCTGTTGCCTGTCTCCCCAACCCCTGATGAGGGAGTCCTTACCCTCCAGCTGGCCAGTGCCCACTGCCCTCCCCCATGACCCCACAGCGGCAGGTGGCAGCCCCCTGTTTGTCCTCCCAGCCTTTCCCCCCTCTGCCTCCTGTCTTCCACCTGTACCCACCCCAAAGTGACTTTAAGGGTGTCCCGACATCCAGGCTGTCCTACTGCAGGGACCCTCTCCCTCTGCGCTCCTCCAGCTTTCTTTGGCTTCAGACACCTCAGGGGTCCCACCCGACTAGGCATGGCCCCATCCCACACCCTTGGCTCCCCCTCCCTCAGCGAGCAGGCTCACTCAATCTGGTTTGGTCCAGAACGGCTTTGCTTCCTAAACCGCTGGTGACTGAGGGCTTAGTTTAACAGGATGAGCCATCTGGGAACCGCTGCGACACGATGGAGCCAGGGATGGAGGGGGGCCACTTCAACTCCCCAGCCCTGCCAGTGGCCCCTTACTTCTCCACCCCCAGCTGGTCTGTGTGCACCCTGGAAAATTCCAAGCAGCTGGCAAGGGGTGAGGCCACCCAACAACCAGGCTTTAGCTGGAGAAGCCTGGAGGTCCACGGGGAGCTGGAGCCTGAGACTGAGGCCTTTGGGGGCAGGCCTGTGCCCCCATCGGGCACCAGGGGGCAGCCTTATCCTATTCGTGCACCCCAGCACCCCCCGCAGGGCAGGGGTCCCTAGTGCCTCTCCCCCCTCCACCTGCACCAGGCAGGGATCAGGGTGACAAAGGTCACTGGACCCCCTTGCCCCCACAGGCTTCACTTAGTGACAAATGCAAGTCTTGCTCCTGAGTCAGGCTGGCTCCCCAGGGCCGGCTTCGGAGACTCCCAGGACCTGTCAGCTCAATACGTGGCCTGGACGCCCAGCACCTTCAAGGGATGTGATTCTTGTAAAGCCCTGCCATCCCTGGAGCCAGGTCCCCCTCACCACACCCTGCCTTTCTGTCTGCAGGCCCGGCCCCAGCCTCCTGCGCTCCCTTTAGTGCAGAGGAGGGGAAAGCCGATACGTCCTGGAGCCCAACGCACGCCAGACCCCCGCCGCGGCTAAGTGGCCTGGGGATACAGGGATGCCCCGCGAAGTCTGAAGCCAGGAAGAAGGGAGAGGGAGGAAACTGAAGGGGCAGGGGAGGCTGAGGATGTCTCCAAGGCAGCTAGAGTGGACCAGCCGTTTTCCCAACGCGGGGAACGGGCAGGCGCGAAGGGTCAGGCCCGGAAGCCCCCGAAACCGGGGCGCGGCGCCGCGGCCAGCCTCCCGCGCCCGCAGGAGCTACGTCTCCTCGCAGGGAGGAGAGCGGGAGGCGGTGGGCGGAGTGACGACGCGAGGAGGCGGCCCAGAGGAGGGGGAGGGGAGCAACCGGTGTGGGGGTGGGGCGACAGTGACATCACCCGGAGTCGCTTCTTAAGCCGCGGCCGCTCTGGTCGGGGGAGGAGAGGGACGGTCGCAGAGCGGTGGCGAGTCGCTGAGCCCGCCGCGGGCCCCTAGAGCGGCTGGAGCCGCGCCGCCGCGAAGGAGGGGCGAGGCGCGTCGGGCCACAGT